TCGGACTATTCAAAGATGATCAAGAAAAATACGATAAGGCTGCTGAGTTTTACGAAAAAGCACTGAATATCAAAGAAAAAATCCTTCCTCCTAACCATCCTGACTTGGCTACTTCCTATAACAATATTGGCTTGGTCTATAAAAATATGGGTGAGTGCTCGAAAGCACTTTCATTTTATGGCAAATCACTTGGTATCTTGCAAAAATCTCTTCATCCGAACGGTCCCGATTTAGCTACTTCTTACACTAACATCGGAGCAGTATACTATAGCAAGGGCGAGTACTCGAAAGCACTTTCATTTTACCAACAAGCACTCGATATCAACGAAAAAACTCTTCCTTCAAACCATCCTGATTTGGCTGCTTCCTACAATAACATCGGTTCGGTATATGCTAATATGCGCGACTATTCGAAAGCTATTACGTTTTACACAAAAGTAATCGATATCTACGAAAAAACTCTCCCACCAGATCATCCCTCCTTGGCTACATCTTACAACAACATCGGTGTAGTATATAAAATCATGGGCGAGTACTCTAAAGCGCTCTTATTTTATGAAAAATCACTTGAGATCAGAAAAAAAATTCTTCCACAGAATCATCACGACTTGGCTACTTCTTACAACAACATCGGGGGAGTGTATAATAACATGGGCGAGTACTCGAAAGCGCTTTCATCTCTTGAAAAAGCACTCGATATCTTCGAAAAAACTCTCCCTCCAAATCATTTTTTGTTGGCTCATTCGTACAACAACATCGGTTTGGTATATGATAACAGGGGAGAGTACTCAAAAGCACTTTCGTTTCACGAAAACGTAGTTGATATCTACGAAAAAACTCTTCCTCCAAACCATCCTGACTTGGCTATTTCTTACGATAACATGGGTTTGGTATATAAAAGCATGGGCGAGTACTCCAAAGCGCTTTCATTCTATGAAAAATCACTTAATGTCAAAGTAATAAATGTCGCTCCGAATCATCCTGACTTGACTACTTCCTACATCAACATTGCAGGGGTCTATGATAACATGGGCGAGTACTCGAAATCTCTTCCATTTTACGAAAAATCGCTTGAAATCAAGGAAAAGACTCTGCCTCAAAACCATCCTGACTTAGTTACTTTTTACAAAAACATTGGTTCGGCGTATGTTAACATGGGTAACTTCTCAAAAGCCCTTTCATTTTACACAAATATAATTGAAACCTACGAAAAAACCCAACCTCCAAATCTTCTCTCCTTAGCTACTTTCAACAGTAACATAGCAGAAGTGTATAAACACATGGGCGAGTATTCGAAAGCACTGTCGTTTTATGAAAAATCACTTAAGATCAGAGAACAAACTCTTCCTCCGAATCATCCTGATTTAGCTACTTCATACAATAACATCGGAGAAGTATACAATAACATCGGCGAGCACTCAAAAGCACTTTCTTTCTATGAGAAATCTCTTAATATCAATGAAAAAGCTCTTTCTCCAAACCATCCTGACTTGATTGCTTCCTACAACAACATAGGTTCGATGTACTTTAACTTGGGAGAGTTCTCGAAAGCCCTTTCATTTTATACGAACGTAGTTAACATCTACGAAAAAACTCCTCCACCAAATTATCTCTCCTTAGCTACTGCCTACAACAACATTGGTTTGGTTTATAAAAATATGAGCGAATACTCGAAAGCACTTTCATTTTATGAAAAATCACTCGATATCAGAGAAAAAGTTCTCCCGTTAAACCATCTCGACTTGGCTATTTCTTACAACAACATTGCAGGAGTATATAATAATATGGGTGAGTACGCGAAATCACTGTCATTTCTGGAAAAAGCAGTCGGTATTTTTGAAAAAATCCTGCCTCCGAATCATTTCTTGTTGGCTCAATCCTACAATAATATTGGTGCAGTGTATACAAACATGGGAGAATACTCGAAAGCACTTTCATTGTAAGCAATAACTCCCACTCAAACGCATCGGGATTTCGTGCAGTGAAAAAGAAACACTGAACTTATGAGAGAGAAAATGTAATTGATTTTTCTTTTGCTTTAAGACAATAAGTTTCGTTCAGGTTTTGCTTACAATGATGGCCGATCATTTGCTTTTTCTTTAATATATTTCTATTCAACTCTGCACGCATGGCTAGAGAGATCCTGAATCTTGTTGGGATGATACAGTAAACAATGCTGCCAATAATCGAGCAAATATATAAATGTGTATGTCGTACATACGATATGACGACAAGAACATATATGTATAACAAAAGTTTCATCAAACATTCTCGTACATACTAACAGCATGGTAAAACTCTCTAGCAATGTCACAAGACGATCCAAGGGTGGGTGCAGATGTTCTTCTGGACCACATAACCATATCCACATTCCACCTGCACTCACACTCTTTTACCTATTGTTACATTTATCATTCGACTTACTAAGTCAAGCAGAAAAGAAAAATCATCGTATTATCTTTCTTCTTATAATTAAGTGTTTCTTCATAAGAAAATTTTTATGACAATCTCGAGATAATCGTCAATCCGATTTTTCATTTCGATTCTTTTCTATATTTAAAGATCTCAGCTCAAGATTTTGTTAGCTTTATGATTGAATATGGTGCAAATGTAAATAAAAAAACCATATGCACCAGAGCTCCGAATGGGATGGGACAATCTCATCTCATCCCATGGGACGAAATTTCTTTTAGCTAGGGATGATGGGATGTTTTCTTCTCTGTATCATGAAAAAATCCAAGCTTTTTTGGTTGAAATATGGTTTCAGTCAGTACTTTATGCTAGTACTGAATAATACAATTTACTATATTCTGATTGTTGATCTTATTTCTTCAAAACAAATACTTTCGTTACTGTTTTTTTTTCTATTATTGTTCATAAAAAATGTTTCGATCTATTTTCCACGTGCATAAAAAGACCTAAAACTGTTTTGACAAAGTTCTATATTCTATAATAGCGTATATTCTTAAAAGACTGTCGCGTAGCTACTGACTGCATGAATAAAAAAGCACTTTAATGAAAGAGCTTCTTAAATCTAAAAGGCAGATTCTTTTATTAAGTCTAAAATGATTTGATGAAAATCAGGATCCATTCGAATATACGTATATATGATTAGTATACAAATTTAATATCAAATAAACTGATCTAAACATACACGTATGGAGGGAGCTACGGTAATTGAATGAAGTAGCCACAGATATCGGCTCTAAATTTTCAGAAAGTCTTTTTATAATATGATTTGTCCCATGGCATCCCATGGCATGGGATGGGACGAAAATTTTTTATAGCTTGAAACAATGGGATGGGATTGAACAAAACGAGTTATCCTATAGGATGAAGAATTCGTTCCATCCCATCCTATTCGAAGCTCTGATACGCACTGGTCACAGATCTTTACATCGTACTACTGTTACTTCATATGTCAATTGTGCTGTATCCATCATCAACATACTCATCAAGGCCAGTTCACATACAGATTCTCTCAACATTTACGTTTATCGACCTGAACTACTAGCAGAATCAGTCGAAATCAAAGACATCATCATGAGTCTAAATGAATACATTTGCTCAAATGTCTATGTAAGCATTTGATTATTTCAACAATATTATCTTATGAATCATATTTTTCCCGAAATTTAATTAGTTTCACAAATATGCATCAGGGTAAATAAATTGTTATGGCACGTACATAGAACGTGTCACAAAACATATTCGTCAAAAGCCTTATTGAGATACGTTTGTTCTTTGTATACTTATACATGTTGTAAAACACAGGTTCCTGTTTTCTTTCGTTCTATCATACATATCCTTATATTGTTTTCTTGGTTTGTTCTATTACTCTCTCTCTTTCTTGTACGTGATAAGTAAAGTATTTTCCCAATAGTTTTATGTTATCTATTCGCATATTTCAGCTCTCCTCTAACATTTGATATGTATATATAGAGTTGTTCTTCCTATCAAGAGGCATATATAGACTGATGAAACTGAATAAAGTAGTACCATATGCGCGACAAAGTATATTATATCTAACAGAAATTAAAAAAAATATGTTTCATGACGTTAAATGAAATGTGTGCATGTAGTTGATGATCTTTTTGCCACATATATCAATATCTAACAACTTTTTCATCCTTGTTTCGTAAGTAAAATCTGATGAATCTATACATTTTAGAGAAATATAGATATAGATTTGATTGATAGCAAGGCTCACATCTATATTCTCTAATGAGTTTTTTTGTTAGAAGGAAGTTTAGATCATGATAATTGCTGTACATTTTTTCTTCACTAAAACAAATATTTATCTTGTTCCATAATAAATCTTTTTCTCAACACCAGTGATAAATCAAGCAAACGTTTTTTATACAAAAATAAACACTCGTATTTTATTGTTCTGTTCATCTCAATATAAATCACCTCGTTTTGTTTGTAATTCAAAAACATTTTCAAGACTTTTAAAATGAAACAAAAGAAACTCGTTTTTTCTTAGATAAATGGAAGATTTCTCTGGAACATGAGTGGAAATAAATGTTGGAGTAGATAAAGCAAACCTTGAACCCATTCACGTTCATCGGATAGACCGTGATAGCTACCTTGTTGAGGATATAAATAACAAGCTATGTCATGTTTCACCGTATAATTCGGCAATAATTAGATAAAAACTAACTTATCTATATTCATCTATAAGATTTTATCTATTATTTTAACATAGAAAAAAGAAAAAACTGTTTTGAGGTTAAAGTTCTTCAGCAAAAGATATGTTATTCGTGACCGTTGCCATCTAAATATCAATAATATGAAGCAAAAGGTTGTCATTTTGTTTTTTTATCAGTACTGTTATCAGCTCTTCAATACTGAATAATTACCACAGATGTCATATATATTCTATGTTGTTTTGTACCTTAGAAACATTTTCATTTGTTTTTTTCATCAAGTATTTACTTGTATTGTTCTAGTATATAATATTCGACCCAAAAATGATATATCTTTTGATTATATTTTTAATGGTAAGTTCAGTTTATGGTTCATATCACTATGTTGGTTGTTATAAACAAGTATTTTACAATAATTATTTCATCAGTTCTTATATGGAACCAACATTATGTTTTCTTTTATGTGATACACCGATTATTTATATACAAGACAGATTTTGCCGATGTTCAGGTGGCGGTCTTATGGATTATAATCGACAGATAGATGAACTTTGTCGGATACCATGTAGAAAGCCAGGTAATCGTCAAGTGAAAACAGTTCAAACATGCGGAGGTGCACAAACATATTCAGTTTATGCTGAAGAAAAATTTTATACTCAGCATGCTCATTTATTCAACTTTCGTATTCAATTTAAATCATGTGAATTATGGAATACTTCACGTAATTATGATGCATTACAAATTAAAATTGATAAATCATCTGTTAAATCTCCGTTGAATAAATTGGAACGATGTGCTGCTGCATGTCTTGATCAAAATACTACGACCAAATCCATAGGTAGAAAAATATATCAAGAACTAATAATCATCGAATAGTTTTCTCATATTCCTAAGAAATCAAATTCTTTTTAATCATTACTATCTATACTTGTATTTCAACAGCGTTAAATATCGTTAATAGTTCGTCTTAAAAGAGTGTTCATAATGGAACTGAGAAACCAATGAAAATTTCAATTTTTGATTTTTAATATTTTTAGCGTATTCTGACGCATTATAATTAAGTTAGCCAAGAGTCATTTCAGAGCGCCATCAACTTTCCATAAAAGAAAAATAGTCAAAAGTTTTGATTGTTTGGTCTTCTAGTCCAATATAAGTCAGAGTCGTCGTAGTTTATTAATTAAAAATGATCAATTTTTGATAGTATATCTGCTGTTACTAGTAGTTTATGACACTCGAATATCTCAGAATAGGTTTTATATATAAATTGTAACTTCTGATTCTGTTCAAAATTTAAAACAATCTTAAAAAAAGTTTATCTTCATGCTGCAATCAGGCTGATGAATCTCTGTTTCATAGCGGTTTCTAATCGTTTTCAACGGAAGACTTTTGGCACAATTAGTTGACAAGAAACAATTGAAAATCAAAATCAATATGAAATTCAGTATCGACATTAAATCGAACGAATTCTAAGGAAGTATATGTCCTGACCAAAAATACCTGTTGTCTCATAGAGATGATTTCCTTGAGGAAAAATATTTCTTTAGAATTCAGTCGACGCTTTGCTGACTCTGAATGCCATACTCGTTTGAACTTACAGTCGCATCTTGTCAATGAAGAACGATAAAATCAATCATTTTAACCTCATAAATTGTGATATGGTTGACTTATTTTGAAATAGAAAAACCCAATAAACACGATTTTCGACTATTTTGTCGATAGGAAGTGGATGGTGTTCCAAAGTGTATATTGCCTTACTTCACTATAGTACCAATCTCGGAATGAGCGAAAAATTTTGATCAGTGCCTTTGTTCTCTTATGGACGCTCTCTCAAAAGTCTCGACTGTGTAACTGAGAGATCGTTCTCAAAATAGAACAGCATTTTGTGGAAAACTCATCTGAGTACTGTGAACTACTTGAAAAGATTTCATGATATCGTGTAATTTGTTTTTCGCATTTATCTAAAGTGAGTACCAGAGCGTGTGAGGGTCTTGCTATTAGTATTTCTGATTTCGTAACAGATATCATCACAGAACAGGGAAAAAATTTGTCTCGTACCTATAAAAAAATCAGTCTATTCGAATTTTTTTTTATTTAAAATCAATTGATGTGGTACTATTTAAGTTTTCTTTTAATCAAATTATATACTGTTCAATTTGGTTTAATCGAGTGATATTGATTATCAAAAAAACTATAATAAAAATAAAAATAAATCTATTCGTATTAGAGTGTTTTTTCTAGTATAGAATCTGTTATTGTTCAACATCTAGTTGCTAACAGCGTCTAGCATTGAAGAAAAGCTAAAATTCAGATTAAAATCGATTATTTTCGGACTGACAATTGGTTAAAATGCCTCTATTTTAATCTGTCTATAATCAGATTTTCAACTTTACGGAGAAATATCATTTGATTTTGAACTATTTATTACTCTATTTTTTAGTGATTATCGAATATAAATCCACGATAGCTAATTATGAGAGATTGATTTGAATGGATTAAAGTTTGTTAATTAATTAAAATATAGTGGAAAAAGTTTACAATTATATTAAATATATTTATTTGCATGAAAAATTAAATTAAAATCAAATTTACATAGTGCCATCTTAATTAAATGCTTGACCAAAAAGTATTTCAGAAAATGTTTTCAATAATTCTTAAATTTATTTCAGATCAAAAGAGAAAGCCACTTCTGGAAGAATAATATAAATTTTCGTCATATAAAAAGTCACTACTTTTTTTTATAATTCGTGAGAGTGATTGAAACATGAGTTTAAGTTACTGACACTTTCATTTACACGTTAAATTGTTAATTAGCTTCATATCCTGATGCATAATGTGATGCATCAAAGGTTGATCTATTATTACATCTTTATTTGTCATATAGTCATAAGTGTAGGAAAATGAAATTTTTAACTTTAACTTACAACTAAAATCTGTTTATCAATATTGCGATTAAAAACGGTAAATATTTCAATAACCTGATTAAGATAGTAACATGTTAATCATTTTTTACATAAAACTACACTTTTAAGATCAAATTTCTTTGAGACTTTACAAGTTGGCTACTATCTTCTTCCTGATACTTTTTAATAGCATACTAAATTGAAATAAGGCATTCTTTTGAAGTGACATGCATAAAAAAATTTGATAACAATCAAATTTTTATTTCTGAAGATTTCAAATCTTGTAATGGACACAGCTAATATAGAAGTCCTGCTCTATGACGCTTTCTGTTTCTTAATTCTTTGAAATGAATCTTTCATGTAATAATAGCATTTCTTTATCATTATATTGAACAGTCAATAATAGTATTCGATTGCTAAAGATGATTACCAAAGTTTGCTTTATTTTTAATTATAATATGCGTACAAAAACTAAAGAAAACCAATTTCATATCTAAAAATTAAAGAAATATGAAAATTAATCTTTAGCTTTCAATGGTGATAACGATCGATGTTTATGTATAATGCCTGGAAGCTTAAATCTAGATACTAATGGTGTACTTGATTTAACAATTTTACCAGATACTAGTTGTGATCGTTATTGTGATAATATAATGAATGATTCGACAGTTGAACATAAATTTAAATGTGGTTCATTAAACGATTCACATACATGGACTATATATGATTTAAATGCTACATGTCCAATTGATTCTATTTATATAAACGAATTAAAAAAATGTATATCTAAATATAAAGGAGTTTCGAGTTTATGCCCATCACCATCAATGAATTATATTTATAATGGAAATCTATCGTGGAATATATTTCTAAAAATTATTGGAAAATTAAATTTAACTAAATCTATTGTTTCAATTGATTTTGATGATTATGTGACTATTGATCCTACATGGCTATGCCCAACAACTACCAATACAATAAATTCAAATCTTTCTAATAGGAATTTCAATACATATTACGTATTAGATAACGGTTGCTTACGTGTACGTTCCCACTCTTTAGATTCACATATATTATTAAATCGTTTATGCATAACAAATCCTATAAATGAAGATTCATTAACATATGATAATAGCGATTATTCAATTCATTTATTGGATCTTAATACATACACGGATGTTTGTCCACCACAATGGTTTGATATAAACACAGAGTGTTATCGGATATCGGATTACCGTAAGACAATTCAAGAAGCAAGAAATAGTTGTATCTATTTGACAGAAGATGTAAAGAAGTATATTAAACAACTAGAAGTAACATCAAGTTCGTTTGCTGATGATCGTGATGATAGGGAAAAGATAGCACAACATAAACTTATGAATTTGCTGATTGATGCCCTGCAAGGTGAAATTGTACAGTATGAATCACAATGGCAAGTTCGTCTTGGCTTCTTTCTTCTTGATACAAGTAAATTTTCTGAAAAGAATCTTATATATTTTTTTTCAAGTAGTCATCCTTCGCTTAGAAAATCCTATTGATTGATTAGTAAAATAAGTAGTAGATAAGTGAGATTATATAAGATACGAGCAAACACCTTAAATAATAAAATTTGAGAGATTCAGTTCCGTTGCTCTATTATTTATTTGTTCACACTATTGTTTGTATGTCACTACGAGAACAACTATGAGTGTTTACTGTATTTTAATGGCGATCAGGAGATAGTCAACTATTAAGCCAAGAATACCATTCGCAAGTTCATTATGCTTAAATCAGCAATGTTTCATCCATACCAGCGATTATCGCCACTATAGCCAACATTAGGGTAAATGGCCTATCGATATTTTTTCTTTGCCATGGATCAACCAGAGTTTTATTCAAAGATTATTCCGAATTGAAAGTAAATATTGGATTGAAAAATAATTATATTAGAACATAAGTACATTTAGTCTTATTGATCCTCTACGAATTTGCTAAACAAATTGTTTGTAGATATGAATATTTGAAAAAATTCTTATTAGAATTCAAATTCAAATCTTAGAGTGCTATGTCTTTTAAAAAGATACACGAATGTTGCATTTAGTGGCCTCTGGAAACTCTCAATCTTAGAATAAAAGATCCAAACATAAAAGTAAAGCTTCAAACAGATAAAGAAGAGTTTCGTGGTAAAAAAAGCGAATAATGAGAACAGCTATGATCTGACAACTATAGATTATGAAACAAAGATTTCTAGTGTTGCATAGAACCTAATGAGGAAGAATATACTATAGATGATTTTTTTTAACGTTAACTAAAATAATTCTTTTTTAGATGCATCAAATACACAACCAGACTTTGAATCATTTCACTCATTTGTTAAAGGTTTTCCATCACTAGTGTCTGATGTTGATGTTGATCTCTCATCTATAAATGAAATACAAATGATTAATTCAAATGACAATAAGAACTCAAGTATACAAGATGATTCATGTTTAGTTTGGAAACGTTCAATAATCGACGAAAAACAAAGAAGTTCTAGTTTAGACAATTCTCAAATTAATAATTGTTCGGAACCAAGGCATGTTTTATGTAGAACAACAATAATGCTCGGTCATAGTCCTCATCAAATGTGTTATAGTAAACCAACAACACTTGGTTTACCAGCGATGATATCAAATCATTTAACATATGAATTATGTGCATCTGTTTGTGAAACATTAAAAACAAATATAGCTCTTATAAATATGAACAAATGTTATTGTGTCGATATTACTGAAACACTGATGATCGATATCGAAGGAAATCATGTAAAATATATAACAAAGGATTGTGGAAATCCTTGTTCAGGTATATTTACCAGATGAATATTGATGTTTGTGTTTTTCCTCAATCAGTCAAACTTTATTTTCACATTTTTTTCATGAGATATAGCACCAGAATTGTGTGGTAACAATAATTCATGCGAAAACCCATATTTAAAATTTCCTACTTGGTGATATTGCCAGACTTCTGTTTCAGCTCTTACAGTCATCGTATAGTAACATAGTTTTCAAAACGAACTGGAGAAAATTCACCATACTTTCGCCAATATTACTTCTGGACTTTCACAACTCACTAAATTTCACAACGATCTGCGATCATGTCGATTTTTTTTTATTATAACCCATCGAAAATTGCGACTTTTCTAGTCTACAAACATTCTCACATATTCTGTTGATAACTACACTGAAATATTTCTATCTCTTTTTTGCTCAATATTTTTTTTCACATCAATCAAAAACTCGATTTTTATTTCATCTTGAATTTCTGTACGAAATTAAATGGAATTTTCAAATAATAATAGTTTTCACATTTCAGTCCAAAAAGAACTATACTAACAAGCTTTCATACTCTAAAAACCAATCATTCAATTGCATTGAATTTGAATTTATATGTGATTAAGTAAATTACTACATAACTATTTACATTTTTAGGTAATCAAAATGAGAAATGTGGTGATACAAATACTATTGTTCTCTTACATGTAGCTGATAATCTTTTTCGGTTTAAAATTGCCGAATATTATGGACGATCTAAACAATATCCAGATTTTATATATGATGGTTGTATACATTTAAATTCTGCCAATCAATCAGGAATATATCCATTTAGTTTTAATCATATAAATGATATTCATCCACGTCATTGTTTGGAATTATGTAAGAAGTATAAACAAAAATATGCTCTTCTTAATTCAAATAAATGTTTGTGTACGAATATTCCAATGAATACAAAACAAAGGGATGCAAAGTTATTATCATTTCTGGATTTCAATTGTATTCAAGCATGTCAAGGTAATTACTTATATACATGTGGAAATGCAAGTAATTCATCGATCTATTCTGTGTATGTAACACATCCAAGATGTCCTCATAGTAAGAGATAAAAACATCAAAACTTATCTAATCAAACAGAAACAGAGAATTTTTCTTACTTTTTCTTTAGGTTTTCAACTTAGTGATAATGAACAACGATGTGTACAGATTAATTTTTCAGTGAAGAAAAATTCTTTCTCAACTGCACAATCTTATTGTCAATCTATTGGTGGTGTGCTTGCAAAAATAGATGATATTTTAGAACTTCAAGATTTAGTATTCTCATCAAAGCTACACGGAAATTATTTTGATCAATATCTATACTATCAGATTCCAAGTATATTTGATGATACAAGATACTTTTGGATTGATCGTACATCGAATATCGTAAACAACAACAACAACAAAACATCAGATCGTTCTATTGGAAAATGTTCTCAAACATTAAAATCATTTGATCAAAACTGTGTTGTTCTTCATCGTGAAAAAATTATCGTTGATAATACTATAACTTTTCGACGATGTTTTATTGAATCAGATCAATGTTCATCAACGTCTGCTATACCAGTTTGTGTTGATAAAAATCTAGATTCTAATTTAACCGCAATGTGGTCAACTATAGATGATGATTCATCCATCATATCAGTGAATGTATCAACAGATTATTCATGTGGTAATGATACAGATTATCATTTGGTGAATGACTATTGTTATAAAGCATTACTTCATGAAACTACTTGGCATGATGCAAAAGCTGAATGTGAACGTGAGAAAGCCACATTATTTCTACCTGAACAATACATGATGTTATCCTTGTTAAAACTCTTATTTGTACGTTGGCATAGTTACACATCATCTGGTGTTGCACATGTTGATATCTTTTATAATAATCAAAATCGTACTGCTACGCGATCTATCATAACTGATGGAATTAGTTTATCATCTGTACTGAATTCCAGTGATCTTCATACTTTATGTGAAAGTGAATTTCGTCGAAACTATAGCAATTTCCTATCATCACGAAATGTATCAATGAAAGATACAGATCGATTAAAAACTCAGCAAACTGCTTGTGGATACATTGATTTTCGATCTGAATACTCACTATCGATTTCATGCAATGCAATAGCTTGTAATCGACTAGCAACTGTTATATGTCAAAAGTCATCAATTATAACAACACGTGCTGTGTTAGCAAAACGGTTAGTTACCAATAATTAGCTTAGACAAGTCGGAAATTCTCAACTTAAAAAAAAGAAAAGAATTATTCTATAGTTGGGTAGACCATTAGAAAGAAATATATTTTGTGTAATTCTCTAGACAATGAATATAACCATCAGCAAATATTACTTAATACGATCAATGCCATTAAATGAAGTAGAGATCGGCAGATTCAGACTTATCGTTAAATCGTGCCTTGAGCGAGGTAAATGCTCACATGGGAACCGGATACTCATCTCAAAGATACAATGCATTTCTTTTCATTCAATGACTAACACGCTCTAAACATTTCTTAGACGACTAGAATTCGACGGACTCAATAGTCTACTTAACAATATTTTCATATTACTGTCGTGATTCGAACCTAGTTCAATAACTTTTTATAGTATCAGTATACAGATATACAAGGTAAGCGTTTTTCTCATTGTGTACTCTGACAGAGAAATTTTCTAATACGTATTCTATACATGTCTATAATAGAAAATTGTGTATCAACTGTTATCTTCTCCTTCTATCAATCAATAGCAGTTCGCTGTGGAGTTGATCAAGATGAGCGTATATTATTCTGTGTTTTAAAAAGTTTCGTCGTGATAGACTTTGATTCATAGTATGCAAAGCCTTTCTCGAATAGTTTGCAATAAAAAAATTATGTTGTTTATTTTTATTTCATACGTAAAAATATCATATTTATATCAGAACATTATTGGCGTGTTTCTATTTATGTTAAACAAAGAGAACATATCCGATATTCGACTGCATTCAAAATATTCGATTCCTCTCTCGAATTTTTCATAACATATTTTATATTTATTTATAGTGGTTATTCAAATTTGTCAATATCATCGACTGACAAAGAATCAAATTCTAAAAAATCTACCAGCAAAAGTTTCATATCAATACTCTTGATATGTTCAATTGTATTCGTTTTGATGCTCGTTGGATTTATATTATACAATCGTTATATAAAACGAAAAAATACTACACATCGTACACAAAGACTTACTAATGAAACTGTTTATTCTCAATTGCTTACTAGCGATGAATTTGATTTAAAATAGAAATACTATTTTTATTTTTTATTCACTTTATCCCTATCTCTATACCTATAATCTTCATTTTAAATGAAAATTTTTCCATTGATTTCTTTTCTTTTAATTTGTAAACACATCAAATAGTTAATACGATTATTTATTTTTTTTCATGTTATTTCACCCAACGACTATGTATATAGATCTGCTTTTGACACACCTTCTTCTATCCCCCCTCCACATATACCCTAGTTGCTTTTAGTAAAAAAAATAAAATTTTGAATTATTGAGAAATATTTACGATAAATATTCACATTGGGTACTGTTTATAATTTTCGAAATTCAGTACAACAATTGTTTTAACTGCTGTAATTTGCATTGTAAGTTTTTATTTCTTTTTAGGTATTACAACTTGTGAATATCATTTTTCTATTTTCTTCTGTCTCCAAAAGATTTTTGAAATCTATAAGAATAAATTAAAATACCTTCTTGATATTGGACGTATTTGTAATGAAACCAATCTGAAATTTGTACTGATACCGTTTTGATCTCTGCAGTAGACTTTACTTTATGCAGTGAAGAAAAGTTCTGACTTTTTTTAATCTTGTCTAATAGTTCTACTTTAGCTCGTGCAGTAAAAACTTCAACAAAGCTCATCAATCGACTGTATTCTTCATGCTGATGGCAAATACTCAGTTATTTTTTGTTTTATTTTCATTTGTTAGCAGCAAAATGCTCTTTCTGTATGTTTTTGGCCCTATGAAGACGTGTTAGGGCTACAAAATGTATTCAGTTTCGTTTCATTGCTAACCTTTCAAACTATTAAAATTTTGAAATTTTCACGAACAAGTGTTGACTTTCAAATCTTTAAAAAAATCAGTTTTTATTCAGTAATAAATGCTCAAGGAATTATTTAATATTAATTTTTGTATCCTTTACATATAAATTGAAGTTCACTATTGTTCATCAAATATTTCAATTGAAGCACGATTAAAGGTGGTTGTGATGGGATCCCGAAAGATGCGCACGACGAAACTTGCGCACGAGCGTGCGGATGAGTGTACGAAGTGAGGGTGAGGGTGCAGGTGTGGATGATAGTGAGGGCGAGGGCAGGTGAGGGTAAGAGTGAGGTTGAATGGGTCCGTTTTATTTCCTAAACCCTATCCGCACGCTCGTGCGCAAGTTTCGTCGTGCGCATCTTTCGTAGACCCGGTTGTGATGTGGTGTGGATGTCGGTAGGTATCGACGTGTAGGTTTTGATGTGGTTGAGGGTGCGTGTGGGTGAGGAGTGGGCATGAATCCTCTTTCCACCCATACTCGGACGTTTTTTTTATTATGTGTTTCGATTTTCTAATGAAGGATTGATCTTCTCAAATAGAAAATGCACGATGGAAACCTATCGTTTCTGATTGAGAGTTGTGCATAAATTAAGGCTCATATTGATGAAATACTAATGAAAAGATAAGATAAAGGAACACTAAATAATCTTTTGTTATATTTAGGCTGATATCGACAAAATGAAAAGATGGTAAGCTGAACATATCAAAGACAAAATTAATATTTTTTTTTAATTTTTAGGTTCAAATCAAAATAATACAAATGGTATGTTACATATAACAAATTACTAATAGCTGTTTTGTTTTGTATCCTTCGTTTGATATCGATATGATAGCATTGGTGAGTTACACATAGCAAATACACAATTAATATTTCCTTTTTTTAGTTCTGAATTCATGTCGATACAATACAATTGCTGAGTTGTGTGAGGAAAAAATTGACTAATTCCATCTCCATTTTAGTTATGTTCTTCTCGTCTCTCTAAACAGATTGTATTTCGGGACCTTCGTTAAAGTTTCTATAACATCTTTCAAACTGTTGAAATTTGTCTAGTCTGCTCTAGAGTCTCCAATTGACATATTGCAATCGAAATTCTCGTGAGATCGGAAGCTTTTAATCCATTTTTGAGACTAGGATCTCAAAAATTACTATAATTCACTTTATTTGGCTTCCGCCGAGTTCTCAGAAGTCCTGAAAAGTCACCATCTATGCGAACAATTTGATTTATTAGCTTGTGAGTATATACTAATGGTTACTAATTGTTTCTTTTTATTAACGAGTAATTGCAATTTTTTATTGTATCGTAATTGGTTGTCTTTATCAGATAGAACGTGAAAGATAGACAGACGAATGAAATTTATTGTATTATTGTTATCGGGAATGACAGATTAGATTAATCAACGGTGATTGTTCGCAAAAACTAAACGATTATTGATGTATGATTTGTAAAAAAAACTCAAAATATTCGAATGAATTTACCTATGAGAACAACAAACTGTACTATTCGTAAGAAAAAACTGACTCTAGTTGAAGACTTTAAAAATGAATCAAAACAGTGACGAAAACTTATCACGGTTAAACAAGTATATGTAAAAATTTTTATTTCTGTATATAAAACTTCTAATGACTTCTCTTCGTTTGAATATTTATCAAATGGTCTTATATAATATTCCTAATGAAATGAAGAGACTAATTTCCTAAAAATATCGGTTAGAATGTACAATTTTTCTTTTTCACGAACTAATTAATTTTTTCCACAACTTTTGAAGACATACCTATTCACTAATTGTATCCAAAACCTTTTTCTATTCAATTATAATTAGCTTTTGGTAATTTGATAAAAATTTGGTTCAATTTCTATCAAATAAATATAACAATAAGCTCATAATAAAAATCAAACACAATGTGCGAACAGTCACTTAGCAAAATAGATATATAAACTAATGAATAACAAACGATATAGTAACAATCTATTTTTATCTATAATTATGTTGAGTCGAAATGATAAAAATTGTTGTTTTCAATCTTTCAATAGCATAAATACTTTGTTGTGTATTTCGACATCTGCATTTCCTGATCAAAAAAAACCGAAGATTTTTATTAAAAATTTAGGAAAAACATAATCCACAGACCCTAAGAACAGACGCAGAAAGAGTACAGAAGCAGATGTACTTTCACACCAATAATTAAAAATTCTTCATCAATACTTAGCCTAACGATATCAGAGACTATCGCATTTTGTATAATTGCTGTAAACATTTTTTCCTACATTCCCCTTATATCACTATTTAGTGGTATGCAAATTCATGGTATCATGAAACTTGGTTGCTCAGGCGTATTTTAAACGAACAATCAATAAATAAACAAAGCTTCGACATAAGCAAACAGCTTATTGCTGCTGTTAACACACGAGAGACCAATCGATCTTATCGAACTGTTGACACACATCATCATTCCCACTCTCATAATGAATGTCCTAGATATAACCTGACTTAAAACGTCAAATAATATTTCGATATCCATCCAAGATATTGTATCGTGAGCAACGCAATTCTAGATCCAAACGCACCAAAAATATCATTTAACTAACTTTCAACTTATTTAAACTATATCAAAAAATGATAAAAAATAACAGGTATACATGAGTGTTATTAAAAATATACTGTTTACCTAATACAATTTAATTAGTTTAATTTAAAAAATTTATTTTCAGTTGTTTCTCTCTTGATTTTACAACTCTTCTTATATAGATCCACCTTCACATGATAGAGCAGAGACCTATTTTCAATACGAAAAGTGAGCCTGAGAGCTTATTAAAATCTTTAAACCTTTTACACTTCTTTTCCACATTGTATGTTTGAACTTCATACAAAGAAATTATAAGTTCATGGTAGTAGATTCTAGTTATCTAGATTTCATTTTGCTTCCGTTGCGACACGAAATCATCGACCAAAAAAAAAATTTTCATTATTTTCACTTTATTCTATTCTTTCCATTTTCTTGAGAAAAAAAAATTAGAAATTGACCCCGACGTGACTTGAACACGCAACCTTCTGATCTGGAGTCAGACGCGCTACCGTTGCGCCACGGAGTCGACATTAGTGAAAGCATAGAAAAAGAACTGGTTGTTCTCAT